GTGTCCCTCACCTTCAGTCAGGATATTGGTTAGCATGCTTTATAATCAGGCCTCTGGAAATATGACTGGTCATTGCATCAGAGTTCTGAAGTCTTTCAAAGTTGTTTTTCTTTCTGTTATTGCTGTCCTTATATAAGTTGTTCTCCTGGTTCTGCTCGCTTCACTGTGTCAATTCCTATTACCTAGGATTCTCTACAATTGTCTTTAAAATTTTTTTATGACATGATAATATCCCGTGATATTCGTATTTTACAATTTGTTCAGCCATTTTCCAAGTGAAAGGCAATCTAAGGCACTGCCTTCGATTTTAATATTTTTCTTCTCTTCTGTTTTTAATTCTTTTAATCCTCCTTTAGGCTTCAGGAAATTTATTTTCCTTCTAACTGTTTCCTTCCGAGGAGAGAAGGATCCTCTTGCACCATTCCCTTATCCCTATCTCCACATTTCCCCATATGTATTTCTACACCAAACTCTATGTGTGTTGAACCCTTTGTCCATTTCAGATAAGCCTGGGCTCATCTGATGCCTACTCCCTGTACCATTGCTTCCACACTTGTATAATCCTCTCACCCACCTCCCTTATGAGAAATAGCGAATTCCACCTCCTTTCTGCACTAGTCTTTTCCTCCTTTACCCTGCCTTCTCTTTCCTTTCTTCAAACCCTCAGAACAATCCCAAAACAAAATCCACTCCAGGACCTATGTTTTTCTTTTTTAACTCCCCTGGTACCTTTTGAGGACATTAAGGTTCTGAAAGAACCTGTGTTCCTTTTCCCCCCGTAAAATCTTAGCATTACATCATCACACAACTCTTTCTAATTGTTCTAGTAAATTTATCTTTCCAGTTTCTCTGGACTCTTGTGTTTGTATTCTTTCTAGATACTTGCGATTTTTTTTCTTTTATGTGTGAACTCTAGATGTTGGCCGACATTCCTGGGACATTTTTGAGGGGATGGGAGTGGGTGTTCCCTTCAGGAGATGATTAGTAGATTCTATCTTTACTATGTTTACTTTATCCAATGGTTCTAGTAGTTATGGGCAGTTTTTATTTATGATTTCTTGAAATATAGGGTCAAGGCTTTTTTTTAATATCATGGGGGGAAGATGATGAATTCTGTATTACACTTAATAAGTAAACAAAGACCTCTTTCTTATATACATCCCAAATCCCAATCATCCTTAACATGTGGGCCTGTATTATTCTTAATGGATCTTTTCTAAATCATGGATGTTAAGATACCAAACAAATCCTATGTGTTTTTGTAAGTCTTGTGTAAACCACGAAAACCTTGCACAGCGCCTGGCACAGTGATTTGACTTATCTCCTTCATCAATAAAACTACTGTTTCCCCACCCCTCTTACCAGAGTGCATTGCTTCCCTGCCCTCACCCAAATCTTGGACACTTACTTGCACCAGAAGGTATACCAACCATACAAGAGATCCCACACCTGGAGGAAGCTGGCACAATCAATAAAATTGGGGCAACATAAGATAGGCAACTTGCCTACCCATAGTGGAGGAGACTTGGCTCAGAAGACAGCGGAGGTACTTCCCAGAGTACCATTAGGCTCACGTCTTGTACAAAATCAAAAGCTGCCAGAGAAGGAGAATGGTATCAACAGTCTGTGCCAAATCTATCTAACATAAAAGGGAAGTGTCACCCAAGGCTCTGGCCTGGGCCTCTTTTTTTTTCTCCTTCTACAATATCTTGCCCTCATGAGTTCAATTATCATCTTTATGCAGATGATTCATATATGTGTGTACATATATACATATAGCTCCAGCCCTAACCTTCTCTTCTGAAATCCAGTCCCACATCACCTTTTAGACATCTCAAACTGGAAGTCCCATAGGCGTCCTGAACATGTCCAAAACAGAACTCCAGATTGGAGGTCTACCTTTGTGAAGGGTAGGACAATTGTGACTAGCTGATCACTCCCCTCCCCTCTTCACGGCTATCTTCAAGAGGGGTATTAGGCTAGAATTATATCGATTATACAACAAATGTCTACAATCTAGAGACATGATTCTCTTTTAGTCACTCCAGGGGGGAAATACTCCTACCTTAGACTGGGAGGGTAACATGTAGCTAATTTGGCCAGACTAGCTCACCTCCAACCCAAGTTTGAGCAATATATTTGTAACAGAGCATCCTGGTCTGTGTTTGCTTTCACAATATGAGTGATATGGAAATATGTTTTGCATGACTGCACATGTGTAACCTATATGAAATTGCTTGTCTTCTCAATGAGGGGAAAAGGGAGGAAGAAATAATAATTTGGAACTCAAAAAAAATGCTTAACATTTTTACATGTAATTGGAAAAATATTTTTTAAAGAATTCTGATTAAACTTAACCATGTGTTGTGGATTTTCAGGGAGCTGGCTATGAAATATTTACCAGCACACCCCTGCTAGTGGCTGGTTTGGGGTAGGGGTGGGGGGTTGGTTTGCTTTGGTTTTTTTCTGGGCTCTTTTTAGAATCTTCAATACGCGTCCAATCTGTCCTTGGCTCTTGATGCAGATACTGCCATTGGCTGTTCTAGAGATGTGTCGAGGATGCCAATGGGAAAATGGAAAGGCCAACATCTTCAGAGTCTCTAAAATTCTGGAGGTCTTCCTCTGGCCAAGAAGGTGGAGAGAAGGGGAGAAGAAGTAGAGGCTGAAGCCAAGGGCAAGGCACTCTTCTCTCTCCCAACTATTCATTCTTAAGCGTTTGGCTGGAACTCTCCTGGCTAGACACTCACTGGATATTCTTGAATTCTGAACTAGCTACTGATTTTATCCAGGCTCAGAAGGTGCAAGGAGTTCCAGTCCCTCAGGCAATTTGAACAGACTTCCCAGGGAGGTCTTCAGGCCTTGTTCACACTTAATTGATTGTGTTTCTCATCTGAAATCCAATGGGGTAGGTGGGGTGGGGGTGATCTTTACTCCACTCTGTGGGAGCATTTTAGAAATTCCCTTTTCAATTCAACTAAAAATGTTAAAAAAAAAAACCCTCTAGAAAAGCATATAGAAGGCTGATGGCAAAAAGGTCTTTTTTTTTTTTTTGTAAATGGATTAAGAGTGGTAACCAAGCTTAGAACAATGAGAACTTTTGGTCTGTTTAAGATCATTGCCTTCTCCACCTTGTGAAGTGATTGAGCCACAAACTTCTAAAGTCAGTCTTCCCTTCCTTCAGTCCTCATTAACTTCACCCTTCTCCTCTAGAAAGCATTTGTATATTGAGGAAGAAGGTTCTTTTTCTAATTCCTTTTGTTGTTCAGTCATTTTCAGTTGTGTCAGACTCTTCACGACCAACCCTATTTGGGGTTTTCTTGACAAAGATACTGGAATGATTTGCCATTTCCTTCTTCAGCTTATTTGACAGGTGAGGAAACTGAGGCAAACTGGGTGAAGTGACTTGCCCAGGCTCACAACTAGTAAATATCTAAGGTCAAATTTGAACTCAAGTCTTCCTGATTTGAGACTCTTTGCTCTACCCACTGTTCCACCTAGCTGCCCAACTTTGCTTATTTCTATAGAACACTAGAAGGAGAGTGGTCTAGGAAGGAATTCATAGTGACTATTGTTCTGAATGTTAATCCCAAACTATATTTTAATGTAATATGACATCTTCCTTGTTTGAAATTCCTACAAATGTTACTTCAAATTACCCTGGGGTAGAGGACATGGGGTGGAGGAGGGAGGATTATGCCAATTTGGACATTATAGACTGGAAATGGTTTTCTTTTCTTTTTTTTTTTTTTTAACAATAACGTTAAATTGAATGACATTGTTTCTGCCAGACTTGTGCCTAAAAATCAGAGTACACTGTTAATATTTTTCTTCCACAAGCTGATACAGAAGACAAACAAAATGAATACAAGGTAATTTATTCAGGGGATGGGGGGAATACTGGACAAATCAGAACAAGTTCAAGGTCTCATGTAGGAGGTGTCCTTTAAAGCTGAACTTTGAAGGAATCTAGAGATTCTAGGTGGGATAGTGGATAGAGTTCCTGGCCTACAGCTAGAAAGACTCCTTTTCCTGAGTTCAAATCTGGCCTCAGACATTTAATAGCTGTGTGGCCCTGGGCAAATCACTTCACCCTGTTTGCCTCAGTTTCCTTATCTATCAAATGAACTAAAGAAGAAAATGGCAAACCAGTGTCTCTGCCAAGAAAACCCCAAATTGGGGCAATGGCATGGTGGATAGAGCCTGGCCCTGGAGTTAGGAGGACCTGAGTTCAAATCCGGCCTTAGACACAATACTTACTAGCTATGTGACTCTGGGCAAGTCACTTCACTCCAACTGCCTTGCCAAAAAGAGAAAAAGAAAACCCCAACTAGGGTCCTGAAGAGTTAGACACGACTGAAACAACTCAGCAGCAACAACAAAGGAATTCTAAAAGACAGGGAGATGAAAGACAAAAAGCTGAATTTGGGAATAGTAAGGAGGCCATTTGGACTGAAAAACAGGCTGCAGTTGGACTGTGAAGGGACAGCTAACAAGTTGTATTTTATCCTAAAAGCAACAGGGATCCCCAAAAAGTCCTGGAACAAGGTACCTGCCTACTCAGAGTTGCACTTTAGGAAATATTTGGCAGTGGCTGTGGGGAGGATGGATGGGAGAGGGGCCACAGGTCCAAGTAGCAGGCTGTTGTAATAGGCCAGGCCAGAGGCCAGGAGGGTCTGAAGTGGTGGACAGTGAGCGTAAAGACCAGCAGAACAGTTGAACATTAGGGACTATTGCTTAGGAGGGTCGAAGGCTGGTTAAGAACTCTGGGGAGTCATCTCAGCAAACTAGTCACTTGAACTTGTGGGTACAGATGACTATGGGGGCAAAGAGATGGAGAAACCTGCTAAGGCAGACCGAAAAGGGTGATAATAAAGAGAAGCCAGCTAGTCACAACCCCAGGGGAAGGGGTGTGGAATACTTCCGGGGTAACGGGGCAACCAAGCCAAGGAAAGTGGCCAATCAGGGGCTTCTGCCTCTCTCTCTTCTCCCCCCACCCCCAGACTTTGGCATAGCCAAAGCGAGGCTGACGCGTCGACGAGGCTGCAGTCAATCCCTCCGCCCGTGCCTGAGTCCATACTGGCCCTCACCATGGTGAGCCCAGTCCGCGTGGGCACCCTGCTTCTGGCCCTGCTTACCGTGCTGCTCCGACTCCATGCCGAAGCCTTCTACATCCAAATCGATGCCCATGGGGAGGAGTGCTTTTTCGAGCAAGGCATGACGGGAGCCACGATGGTCCTCAGCTTCGACGTGACGCGGGGCGGCTTCCTGGACATCGACGTGTACATCGCTGGCCCTGACAACGAGGCCATCTTCCAGCGGGTCCGTGAGACAAGTGGCCGCTATTCTTTCTCAGCCTACCAGGACGGCTTCTACAAGTTTTGCTTCAGCAACCGCATGTCCACCGTGACGCCCAAGATAGTTATGTTCACGATCGACGTGAGCCTGGCCCCCAGTGCTGGCCTCTCCCAGGCCGAGGAGGACGAGCCCCACTCCAAGCTGGAGGCGATGATCAAGCAGCTGGCAGACGCCATTACGGCAGTCAAGCACGAGCAGGAGCACATGGAGGTACGAGAGAAGATCCATAGGACCATCAATGAGGATACCAACCGCAGGGTGGTCCTGTGGTCCTTCTTCGAGGCTGCTGTCCTGCTGGCCATGACCTTTGGCCAGATCTACTACCTGAAAAGCTTCCTCGAAGGCCGGACAATGAGGTAAGAAAAGGCCTTTCCCAGTGGGTGGGTTCCCCTTCCCTCCCCAGAGTCAAGTTCACCCATTACCTAGACTTCACAGCAATATCTTTCCTTTGGGCTTTTTGGAAGAAGATACCTCTTGCTGATTTTTTTTTTTTTTTTTTTTTTTTTTTTTTTTTTTTTTTTTGCTTTTAGGCAATTGGGGTTAAGTGACTTGCCCAGGGTTACACAGCTAGTAAGTGTCAAGTGTTTGGTCTGAGGCCAGAGTTGAACTCAGGTCCTCCTGACTTCAGGGCTGACGATCTATCCACTGTGCCCACCTAGCTGCCCCTCCCTTGCTGATTCGTCTGTAGCCTAAATGCCTTGGGGGATGGGGGTAGAGAATAAAATTGCCTGTTTACTAAGATAATTTGAATGATACCCTTTCTCTTTGGCCTGAACTATAGAATACGTGTAGGCAGTATGGTTTAACAGTGGAAGAGACCACACAAGAGGACCCTGAAATGAGGTGGGTGATATCGACTGACTTCTGGAGATCCATCATGGCAAGTCAGATGGCATCCTTACCCTCCCCCACCCCCTTTCTTGACTCGACTTTCCTTTGTTTTGAAGTTGATTCATTTTGCCCAGGAAAGAGGAATTTGGGGAATCCTTTATTTGGGGGGGGGGTAGAGGTGGGAGTGGGAGGTTGGCTTCTGCAGTACCTATTGGAAAAAAACATTTAGTTTTATTAATTTTGCTTATTCTTACAATTGACTTCTGTTTATTCTAATTAAGCTCTATCATTTATTTTCATTAAATTAATGTGTCATTAGGAAAACATTGTTATTATTAAGGTATAATATGATAAATCATTAAATCCTCTAAATAGATAACAATGGACACCCTATTCAGACTGGATACTTATTTTTCCTTTAGCTTTACTTTTATTTTAAAAGCTCCCCAAAATATACTCCACAAGATCCAAGCTTGAGATGTTTCTGACATTGAACCCTAAACCTCAGATGCCTACATTTGAACTACAGAATTATCTTTGTAATGTAGAATAAGTAGTTAACCAGGGTTGCTGCCTCACACTTGTAACTGTACCAACTTGGGATGATATTTCAACAAATGGTAGTCTTCTAATGCTGGCCTGGCTGTAGTTCCACCATATAGGCATTTTGCTAGCATGTATCAGCATAAGTGAGAAAAACCTGGATGCTTATGGCCAGAGAGTTAAAGGTTTGGGGATTTTGTTGGAATGTTAAATAGCTAACATTTTAATTGAGTCAACAGCGTTGTAACTGTATTTATAACTTCTGTTTTTCCCTCCTCTTTCATTTTAGGCATATGTGAATTTTATCTTCTTTAGAAAATTACTTCTTGGTTTCTGAAGATGAATTTCAAATCAAAACATCTGTTTGCAGTGTGGAACTGATTCAAGGATCCTATTGCAACTAATATGTTTTATTTGTGCTTTCATATTCCAAGTCAAAAATTAATGAGCTTCACACAAAATACTTGCAGCATTTCATTAAAAAATGTTTGTTTTACCTTGCTCTGATTGTTGAATACTAGTTTGGTGGGGAAATCCCTGAATAACAATTCAAAATTAAGTTAAAGATATGAATTAAGTAGATATGGATCTAATATGATCCAGGTTCAATAAGAACCCAATTGTTTAAAAAGCAAAAAGGTCAAGAAGAAAAGACTGAGAAAAGTCCATCAGATTTCTGCATTCTGACCTTCTCAAAGGTCATTGGTGACCTTTGAGAGAGACATTTCAATTGAGTGGTGGGGTCCTCAAGCCATTTTTCAAGGGGTTCTAGGTCAATCTATCAACTAGGATTTATTAAGTGCCTGCTATGTGCCAGACACATGGGGGATACAAAGACAAACAGAAGACAGTCCCTATTCTCAAGGAGCTCACAATCTAATGGGGATATAACAAGCAAGCAACTATGGACAGAGATAATCCACAGAGGGAAAGTACTAGAATAAAGAGGATTAGGAAAGGCTTTCCTGTAGAAGGTGGGGTTTTAGCTGAGACTTGAAGGAATAGCTTGTTGACATTTCAGACATGTTTCACAAGCTTTAGAGTTTTCCTTTTTCAGAGATTCCCCTCTGGACCCAGAAATATTTGATACATTTCTCTCTCTCTCTCTTTTTTTAAAGGGATAGTTTCTAATTTTAGTCCCCAGTGGATTCAAGGATTAGGCATTTTCTCTGTGAAATCCCACTGCCATGAGAAAATGCACCTCCCTCCTCAAAGAGGGGATGTGATAGGATGTGATGCGATGTATCTCCATATATCTATATATATCATCGCGTCATAGAGAAAAGATGTGGTGCTATGTAGACCTAATGTTACATGTAAATGCATAATCATTAAGAAGAGGATGGATGACACACGTTAGGACTTAGTTACCTAGTTGCTTAGGTTAGGAAGTTGAAACAAATGGTGGCTACAAATTCAGAAGGGTAAAATGTAAAACATTAAGGTCTTTCATGCTTGCATCCTATTACAATAATTCATAAATACAACAGCAAGATTCATCATTTAAAAAAAAACTTTTGGAGTTCACCTGCCCTGATTATAGAATTTTGCTATGAAAGGAAGGAGGGACATGGTTATTATAAAATCAAGACTGTCCCTTTAAGGGCATAGACCAACTTGGCATAAGCATAACAGGATAAAGATTCCTTAGCTCAAATTTGATTCTAGGTAAGAGTGACAGTTAATCTTTATTCTGGAGCAGGGTATCATAGCTAGCTAGGTACAGGATCAACCAGGTGGGAAAATTTCCTGTTCAAAAAGGAAATAGCACAATGGGTAAACTGAGTAAAGAAACTTCTACTGTGAGATATCTCAGTTTCTCATTAAAACCAATTCATTACTTTAGAATTTTACAATATGTTGTCAGCAAGGCTGATAAGATTTTATGACCTTGCCCAAATAGAAGGTCTCAAGAAACTAGTAAGTCCCCAAACAACTTCACAGATAGGGGAAAAAAATCTGTGATCCTTTTCCCAATCAGTAAATTATCATCATTACACATTTTAAAGTAAAATCTACCCAATACTTAACAGTTTTTAAACATTGCGACCACATCTTTAACAACTCAATTCATAATCTAACAGCATCTAGATTAAAAGAGAAGTTAATTTTCTAAGAATACAATTACTGAAGAAAATAATTCCTTAAAAATCAGAATTGGACAAGTGGAAGCTAATGGTCCCATGAGGCACCAAGAAACAAACAAAACCAAAAGAATGAAAAAACAGAAGAAAATGTGAAATACCTCATTGGAAAAAACAATTGACCTGGAAAATAGATTGAGGAGAGATAATTTAAGAATTATTGGACCTACCTGAGAGCCATGATGGAAACAACAACAAAAAAAGAGCCCCAGACATCATATTTCAAGAAATTATCAAGGAAAACTGCCCTGATATCCTCTAATCAGAAAGTTAAATAGAAATTGAAAGAATCTACCAATTACCTCCTGAAAGAGATCCCAAAATGAAAACTTTCAGGAACATTATAGCCATATTTCAGAGTTCCCAGGTCAAAGACAAAATGTTGCAAGCAGCCAGAAAGAAATAATTCAAATGTCATGGACCCACAGTCAGGATCACACAAGATTTTAGCAGATTCTACATAAAAGGTTCAGAAGGGTTGGAATATTTTCCAAAGGGCAAAAGATCTAGGATTATAGCAAAGAATCACCTACCCAGCAAAACTTGATATAATCCTTCAGGGAAAAAAAATGGATATTTAATGAAGAGGACTTTTAAGCTTTATGTAAAGATAAAAAGAATGTTTGACTTTCAAATACAAAACTCAAGAGAAGTGTAAAAAGGTAAACAGGAAAGAGAAATCATAAGGGATTCAATAAGGTGAAACTGTTTACGTTGCTACATGGGAAGATGATACTAAGAACTTTATCATTATTAGGACAGTTAAAAGGAGTAACAGACAGAGTACAGATGTGAGTTGACTAAATGGGATGATATGCAAAAATAAAATAAAGTTAAGGGATGAAAAAGAGGGATGTAGTAGTAGGAGGGGGAAGGGAGAAGTATCTCACATAAAAGAGATGCAAAAGAGCTTTTATAGTGGAAGGGAAGATAGAGAAGTGGCAGGCAAGGATTGAACCTCACTCTCATTAGAATTGGCTCACAGAAGGAATAACATACACATTCAGTTAAGTGTAGAAATCTATCTCACCCTACAGGGAAGTAGAAGGGGAGGGAGACAAAAGAAGTGGGGAGGTGACAGAAGGGAGAGCAGATTGGGGGAGGAGGTTTTCAGAAGCAAAACACTTTTGAGGAGGACAGGGTGGAAGGAGAAAGAGAGAGAGAAGGAAAAATGGGGGGAAAGTAGGATGGAGGGAAATACACAGTAATCATAATTGTGAATGTGAATAGGATGGACTCGCCCATGAAATGGAAGTGGATAGCAGAGTGGATTACATGATTTTGACATAAAGGGTGATACCACAAACAAATTAGAGGAGCATGGAATACTTTACCTGTCAGATCTATGGATAACGGAAGAATTTATGAACAAACAAGAGACAAAGAGCAATGGATAATTTTGATTACATTAAATTAAAAAGTTTTGCACAAACAAAACCAATGCAGCCAAGATTTGAAGGAAAGCAGAAAACTGGGGGGGAAATTTTACAGCCAGTATTTCTCAAATATATAGAGAACTGAGTCAAATTTGTGAGAATATTGGTCATTCCCCAATTGATAAATGGTCAAAGGATATGAACAGGCAGTTTTCAGAAGAAGAAATCAAAGCTATCTATAGTCATATGAAAAAAATGTTTTAAATCATTATTGATTAGAGAAATGCAAACTAAAACAACTCTGAAGTACCACCTTACACCTATCAAATTGACTAATAGGACAGAAAAGGAAAATGACAAATGTTGGAGGGGATGTGGGAAAATTGAGGCACTAATGCACTGTTTTCTGGGAGTCGTGAACTGATCTAAGCATTCTGAAGAACAATTTGGAGCTGTGTCCAAGGGCCTATAAAACTGTGCATACCCTTTGACCCAGCAATACTACTACTAGGTCTGAATCCCAAAGAGAGTTTTTAAAAAGTGAAAGAACCTACATGTACAAAAATATTATAGCAGCTCTTTTTGTGGTGGCAAAGAATTGGATATTGAGGGGAATTCATCAATTGGAGAATATAACTATGACATATGATTGTGATGGAATACTATTGTGCTATAAGAAATGAGGAGCAGGATGCTGTCAGAAGAATCTATAAAGACTTACATGAACTGTTGCAAAGTGAAGTGAAGTGAGCAGAACCAGGAGAAAATTATACACAGTAATAGCAATATGTATCATGATCAACTGTGAACAACTTAGCTCCTCTCTGCAATACAATGATCTAAGTTAATTCTGAAGAACTTATGATGAAAAATGGTATCTACCTCTAGAGAAAGAATTAATGGAGTCTGAATGCAGATTGAAGCATACTTTTTTTAAACTTTATTTTGGTTGGACTTTTTTGGTCTCTGTTTTCTTTCACAACATGACTAATATGGAAATATGTTTTGCATGACTGCATATGTATAACCTAAATCAAATGACTTGCCCTCTCAAGAAGAGGGGCGGGGAGGGAGGGAGAGAAAGACTTTGGAGCTCAAAATTTAAAATACAAATGTCAAAAAAATTATATTTACACATAATTGGAACAGAAGAAAATATTTGAAATGTCCAAAAACATTCATTTCCAGAAGAAAATACAATGATAACATATCACTTAATGAGGCCTACAGGCCACAGACTGAACGCCATTTTCCTCCCAGGAGGTGAAATCACCTTCTAGTAAATAATGAACATGTTACCTTCCAAGGGAAAACTCATTTTTTAAAAAGTCTTAAGCATTGTTTGCAAATAATCTTGCTTTTAGGAAGCTGCAAACCTCCCCTCCCCCCACCAAAAAAAATCTACTAAGATATTTCAGGACTCACAAAAACATTCAAACCATAATATAGAAATTGACAGTAAAGATATTACATTTCAGTTACAAATTATTCTCCAATAAGTTTGCAATGCCATACATTCTCCTTTCTTTCTTTTTTGTCTTCATTTCTGCACCTCAAACTAACCAGTGTTAGAGGGAAAAGAGATTTATCTTGCAGTTCTTTCATATCTCCCACTGAAAGTCTGATCAATGGGTCAAGGGAAGTAAGCATCTGCTTTTTGGGAAGAAGAACAGCATCAGAACTGAAATATTTTACAGAGATCAGGGTGAGCTATTCTAAGTATCAAACTTAATTAAATAACAAACTCATGTAAGATTTTAATTTTAAAAATTACCATCTCCTATGATGCAAGCAACTTAGAAGAGGGTAATACCAAATGAGAGGCATTAGCATAGTCTTCTCACTATTTTACAGAATATTCATTAATACCTTGGTTAAAGTCCCTAAACTTGCTCCACTCTTTAATTACTCTCCCATGGTTTTACCTGGGAAGAGTTAGGGAAGC